TTTTAATATTTTTTATATTATTTACAGTCATATAACAAGTTATTAGTAAATGTTAACAATAAAAAAAATTTACTTCGCTAGGGAAAAAAAATAATTTATGCATTATTATTTGTACATTTGCCCAAAACCAGTCAAAATTACTTCCTTGGGCAATCTAGTGTTAAAAATAAAGCAGATAACAATACAGATTGAAATAGAGAAAAGAAATGATAAATAAAATACTCTATGAGGATAATAAAATTAACTGATTTAACTTGAACTAAAAATATATTTAATGGTGAATTAATTAATAAACCGCCACGCCATCGCCAAATTAAATGCCAACTACCGTCCCAAGTACTTGACGTACTGGCTCACCTTGACAAAGGAATTTGCCACACGGATTCACGCTGGGAGTGGCTGAGGCCGACAGGAGAGACCATCGAAAAACATGATCTCTATCGTAGCCTCAGCCATGCTCAAGCCCAACGCGTGGATCTGAGCGACGGATCGGACTGAGGGTGGATGATGTCCACCGTTACTTTAGCGAACCGAGTGATCCTCCTGAAGTCCTCCGCCACGACGAGTATGAAAATTTTATCTGCATAACAAATGACATACACGCCAGAGGGAAAATCAGCCCGAAGAACAACGTCATATGGGAACTTAGAAAAGTATTCTTCTGTCGCTTGCCAAAATATGACCCGCAAATATAAGAACGTTATCGGGCCAGTGCCATCTTGCCCTGGGAAACGGACTGCTCTGAGAGGGGCCTCATACGCATAATGATGTCAATGGTGGAACGTCTGCCAGAAACCATACTGGCACTCTGACAGGTTTTGGGCAGTCCCACGATAGGTGCTGGAGAGCGAGCACCCGCTGGAAGAGTTTAAGATCTCGTCAGGAATGGAATAATTTTTCCCTCGGCCGGAAAGTGGGGACGACGCGACCATGGTGGGGACTGGTACTTGACGGGGGTATGCTAGGCATAGTCAGCGAAGGTGCATGAGGAGAATAAAAGTGGGGATCGAAATACGGGCGAAAAACAGGGGAAGCGAGCCGTGCGGGAAAGATTATCCCATCCCTGCATCTCGTCTAACAGACACATGGGCCGATAAGGGGAGTCCGCAGACCTACCTTCAGGAGGACTATTCTCGCCTCTTTCCAGCTGGTATACAGGGTGTCTCACAGAAAGTGTTACAGCCGAAAGGGGGTGATTTTTGAGGAAATTCAGAATAACAATTTCCTTTGTTAAAATGCAAACTGAGACATGGTTTTTGAATTATTAACGAAAAACACTGACGAACAAGAGGACATATAGGACCCACGCTAAACCACGGCCGAGCGTCACGATCTGAGCCAACCTACCTGCGGTTGGATGCGGATCCTGCGCTTGCTCTTATTGGTCAGTGTTTTTCATTAATAATTCAAAAACCATGTCTAATTTTGCATTTTACTAAAGGTAATTGTTGTTCAGAAACATCTGCAGGATCACAACTCTTCGGCTCTAACACTTTTTCAGGGATACTCCGTATGTATACAGGGTGTCCCAGAACTAGTGTTATTCCTTGAAATGGGGAGGAGCTGTAGTGATTTTCAACAATTTTTTCCTTTGGAAAAAAGTTGTCCGAGGCGTGTTTGTCGAGTTATTAACAAAAACTACCGACCAACCAGAGCGTTCGTATACAAGGCGGGCAGGAGCGCGATAACCGCCTCGTGCGTTGCCGCGGCCGTATGCCACGCTCGTGACGGAAACATTGGATTAAAACAAAACTTACATGCAAGAGCAACTAAGAAATTGTTTAAATATTACAGAAACAAAGAAATTAGTCGTTAGTTACGTTCACTGAATAAATGCAACATATTCAATTAAATAACTAACAACTTTATAAATTACAGAGTAGCTAAAATTATAAAAAAATGGGAAGAGAATTAGAGTTGAAATTAGTCGTTCGTCTTTAAGTTCATCTGCTCCTAAAAGAATTTCAGTAGGTCAATGTGCCGAAGCCTGACACTCAAAACTAAAACACATGGCCATATCTGTCAGTGACCTGCTCCAAACATTACTGCTGCCCATGTGTTTTATCTTCAAGTACGGGGTTTCGACACATTGTGAACTTAAAGACGAACGATTAAGTTCAACTCTAATTCTCTTCCAATTTTTTATAATCTCAGCTACTCTATAATTTATAAGGTTATTAGTTATTTCATTGAGTATGTTACATTCATTGAGCGAACTTAACTAACGACTAATTGTTTTGTTTTCTGTAATATTTAAACAATTTCTTAGTTCGTTTTTGCATGTAACATTTCTTTAATCTTATGCTCTCGTCACGAGCGCGGCCGCGGCAACGCACGAGGCGGTTATCGCCTTGTAGACGAGCGCTCTGATTGGTCCCGGTTTTTTGTTAATAGCTTGTGAACCGCGTCTTGGACACCTTTCTTGCAAAGAAAAAAGTTTTTTAAAATCACCTCAGCTCCTCCCCATTTGAAGGCCTAACACTAGTTCTGGGACATCCTGTAGATGGAACCTACTGTACTTATAAAATAGTGACATCAAGAATTGTCCGCCTTCTATTTATTCAGATTTCGTTAGATGCTTCTTGAATCTTTTAAAATGTCAATTGAAAACATTTGTTGGATACTTAATTACTTTCCATTTTCATAAACTTAAGCGCTTTAGCCTTTGACTATACAGAGTGTAAACCTAGTAGTGGGAAATATTTGAGCATTGCATTACCACTACGACCAAGGGGAAAAAGCGATGCAGGCGACCAAAAAAATTTGTGCTGTTTATCAATTCAATACAGTATCGAATGCAATAGCAAAGCGGTGGTTCCAACGTTTCTGTTCTGGTAATATGGACGTCGAAGATGAGACA